TACAGCTCCCGTTTCCCCCAGGACCCTGAAGGAAGGCTTGGAGCGGCACAGCCTGGACGTGGGGACCTTGGTGACCGTCCTCTTTGCGGAGGTGAAGGCCTACAAGACCGTCCGAGCCGACACGGGGCAGGAACGCTACAACGTCCTCTGCGACCTGCTGGAGATCTGCTCGGAGGAGAGCGGCCGCCTGCATGAGCGAGCTATCAGCTTGACAGAGCTGGCCCAGGTCTTGTGCTACCACAGCTATGCCCAGCAGACGGACTGGTGGGTGGACGCTGGGATCACCTCCCTGTGTCCCTGAAGGTCCCCAAGGAGCATTTGAGGGTCCTCGGGGGCAGTTTTAAGGATCTGGAGTGTTATTGCTCTGGCTGTTTGCTCTATTTGGGGTCCTGTGGTGTGTCTGTCCTTCCCCTTAAGATGCTCCAGGGGTTTTGGGGGCAGAAGGCTGTTTCTAATCCCTGTCTCTGGCAGCTCCTCCCTGGACTCGGTCCAGGAAGCCTTGCGGCTGCTGGAGTTGGTGCCCAGGAGCGCCCAGAACCGGGACCGGCTCCTCGATGACCAGGCGCAGGCTCTGCTCTGGCTCTACATCTGCACCCTGGAGTCCAAGCGGGAGAAGGTGGGTGGGGGCAGTGGAGGGTGGCTGTGGGATGCCAAAATGGGTCCCAGTGTGGAAACGCCATGGGGCTCCATGCACGTGTCGGGGGCTCTCCTCAGCCTTGCTGGCAAGGCTCAGCTCTGCACTGGGGCGACCAAAAGCCACCCAGACCCCACTGGAAACCCCGTGGTGTCTCTTAATGTGCGTCGCCGCTGCCTTCTCCCCAGCTGCAGAGCACAGAGAGGGTCCAGAGAGCCAAAGCTCAGGGGCTGAAGAACTTGAACGACTTTGAGCCCAACGACCTCAACTACGAAGGCAGGCTGCTGGAGGACAGGTTCCTGTACGACGGCATCTCCTTCAACCTGGCGACAGAGACCGGTGAGGACGCTGGCGGGTTTGGGCCCTTTGCAAAGAGGCTCTCCGGGAGCGCCTGGTTTCAGGTCAGGGTGTCTCAGACCCGTGGTGTGCCCTCAGCTCTGTCCAAAAGCCTGGATGATGCCTTCGCCCTGTGGAAGCAGCTCCTGGTGACGCCGGGCGTCCTGGCCATGCGCAGCCCCGAGCAGACTGTAGCCTCCCTGCAGCTCCTGGTAGCTCTGTACAAGCTGACGGCCAAGGTAACGCTGGCAGGGAGGTGGCCGGCGGGACAGCAGCCTCCCCAGGCCAGCAGACGTGCAGCAGGAGGAGCTGCAGACAGG